CGGGGGTGGGGGCGGGGTGGCTTGGGGCAGGCGTTGGCTGACCTCGTTGCCCGCCGCCAGCCAAGCCCCGTTGATTCGACGTAACGAGCGGAACAACCTGCGGACGGTGGCGCCCCTACCGGCGGCTATTTGCATTAAGGGACCGGGCCGGCCGCCGCCCCCGCCGCCGCCTCCTCCGCCACCGTCCCTGGGGCCCCTGCGGTCTCCTCCGCCCGGCTGCCTGCTGCGTGTTTCCGTTAGGCTGTTTTGCACTGCGTTTAGGGCAGCGTAAAGTCTTGCGGTAGTTGTGTAGCCGGAGGCAGAATGTTTCCCGAGAATTTGGGAGCGGAGAAATAGAAGTGTTTTTGTGCAGTGTGAGCGAAGTGGATGGGAATAAAGCAATTTATGAAAAGTACGATGGAGCGGAAAATGGCTTTTCGGTCGATGCAAAAGACCAGAAAGTCTTGCGTCTGTTTAGACTCAAAGCCAAGGGAACTATAACTGAATGTTTCAGTAGCACGCCATTTTTCTTTGTGATCAATGGCGGAAAATAGTAGAAATTCGTTTGCAACTGACATAAAATTTGTGTAAATTTTTCATGGTTGCAGGAATAATCTGATTTTATTTTTATTAAGTTACTGGCATTTGTCAGATTTTATAAATAATGGTACACGTTTATATCCTTGTACAATTTAAAGTACATGACAGCTTTTCGTGGGAAAAGAGAAAGAAGCAACGAACTGAAGACTATTGGGTGGTGTATCTTGAGTTAATAAGTAATGCGAATAACTGGTAACAATAACCATATTTTTTTATATTATTTACAATGTTAAGTTGCTTTCCTTGCATTAGAAATGACAGGAATGATCCGATCTGCACATTCTTTAAGACGAAAGATATTAAGAGACAATTCTCAAAGTTGCAGAAAAGTGTAAATGATATTGACTTTATAAATATTAATTGATAGATATTATAAACATAAAATCATTTCTTATTTTTTACAATAATCATCTTATTATTATCCAAATGAACTCAGTAACATTCAATTTCGTAGGTTAAATTTATTAATGTCATTCGTATCATCCTTACCATTTGCATTATAACTTAATGTCTAATCTAATTTTAATCTATATTGTTTACTCATTCCAACATATTTTTGATCATATTATTATGATAAAACGATTACAATAATTATTGTGTTCATACGAGCAGTGTTGTGACCATTACTATTAAACTATTTCCACTTCTGGCAAGACAGCTGTGTTTTAATTTTGTGGCTACAAGGCAAGGAGGTTGCACTCACCGACCACAATCATGAGCCCCGATTTGATCTCGGTGTGAAAGTAGGGCGCGTCGGCCGACACCTCGCACTTGTAGAAGCCGGTGAGGTCGCGCTGCACGTCCCGCAGGGTCACCTCGCGCGCGTTCGACTGCGAGATCTGCAACAGACAGGCACACTTTCCTAAGTCACCCAGTCGCCAGTCGTGTTCTTTTTGTGTGACGCGTGGGCCGCATCAAAAGCAGGCCCACGGTACCTAAATAACGCGTTGAATCCACTGTATTTAATAAACTTCCAACCCTGTGGGCTCAGCTCCGTTGTTTGGGCTGTTACTTCCCCACTGAAACTCTACGTACTATACAAAACGTTGCACAAGATAGAGTTTCATTAAGGTTAATTAAATAATATTTAAAGTTAATTCTAATCTCAACCGAAAAGTAGCGTAAATTTGTATTTTTTTCAATAAATTAATGCACTCTGTTCTTTCATCCAAAAAACGTAATTTATTTGCATTTACGTATCTGGAGTTGAGTATCCAATGCATATCAAGTAGATTAATATCAAACGTAATAAATTTTATCTGCGCTCTTCTATTTTGAGCATAATCTACTGATGCCCGTTCTTGGCATCCAAAACAATTGGCATCCAAAATTTTCTAGATGTAATGATTTTTTACAAGCTGTAAATGCAATGATATGCTTTCCTTCATAAACGTGGCCGTCATTCATCCCAGCGAAATCAAGAGAATTCCATAAAAGAAATGTATTATTCAACATCATCGACCTTGGAACAGTGCATAAGACTATAAAACACTGTCAAACTTATCCGACAAGCAAGAAATAAATGATACTTTAACGATACATCCTTTAAAAACACAATAATTAAAAATTATAAAATTCTACTTACAACTAATTTTTACTAATTACAAATTCTAAAATAAAGAAACAAATCATTTGTGTCAGAATGTGAGTTTCTTCTCAAATTGCAAATAAAGACCTTATCAAATAATCAATTTTTAAAAGATATTACATAAGGTTTTAAGCACTTCATTGTAGAAAAATAAGTACCTACGTAATGTGTATCAAGAGGTGCACTTTTGTTGCGCATTGAAAGAGACTACATGGTTCATAACGCATTTGTAATAAAATCTCTGAACCATTGCGTTTTCCATATCAATACCCTACTCACCTGCAGCAAGTGATGTGGACATGAATCACGTCTAAGATATTTCACATCTTTTCTGATCTAAGGTAAAACCAATATCTTAATTCACGTAAAAAATATGTGACATCTTTCAAACGCCATTTTAATGTCGTTCCATACACAGTCTTACTGTCAATAAAAGTTGACAAAAATTTGCAACTTTTGCAAATCTTCAGCTAATTTTAATTTCAATGTAAGCGCAGGTCAAAATTATTGCTGTGTTTTTGTGTTCAAGTAAATAATCATTTTCTTCATTTGTGCTTATATTGAAGAAAACTTACATAAATTATGTGATGACTGTAACAAAAATTGTTCATGGCTACAAAATTGGTCCAACACAAAAACTAATATTGCGTTTTGTCTTTTATTTTATAAAATTGTGTAATATGAATGACTAAAAATTAAATCACATTAAACCTTTGTCAAAACGTACTTATACCTCAATCCTTTTAATTATGAATCATGTTATAAATATATTTGAATCGCCAGAGGTAGCTTTTTTATTTAAACATGTATTCCAAAACTTCATTTTTCAAGTTGTGTTAATTTGACAAAGACATGAAGAACCACCAGCACTACATTCTTCATCAGATTTTATTTGTATGGTGAAAGGCAATTGAATATATTTTATTTGTTTATTGAAGTAATATTCCAAAAGTTGATTTGCTTTGAATGATTATTTACGAAAAAACAAATGTATAATTGTTGCTGAACGTGTTTTTCTCAACTACATAGGCTAATTGATGTTCAAAGGTCTTGACACGCAATTCATCTCCTGACAGAGCGTCTGCCGCTTATTTTCCCCTTTTGTAGACCTCCTCTGATTCGAAAGCCAAGGAGTAATGACATTAGTCCCCCCCCCCCGAAAACATCGCTTCAAAGCGGAGCGCAGTGGCCTACGGTAGTAACATCTGGACGCTAACAGGGAGCGACTACTCTCCCTCGCATTTCATGTGTTGCTCCTTCCGCGGGCTCTCAGAGGCCACTCTCTGGCGGCGGCGGGGCTGGGGGTGGTGGGGGTGGCAGCGCTGCCCCCCCCCGACC